GCCTCGCCATATCCTGCCTGATCACCTCTCCCTAATACTTCTTAGGCTGCCCTCTACCTCTTCTCGTGCCCTCCATAACCAGCCACTCACACCTCCTTACCGGAGCATCTGGGCTTCTCCTCTGAACATGCCCGAACCATCTGAGCCTCGCTTCCCGCATCTTGTCATCAATGGGAGCCACGTGTACCTTCTCCCGAATATCATCATTCCTAATCTTATCCATCCTAGTGTGTTCGCACATCCACCTCAACATCCTCATTTCTGCTACTATCATCTTCTGGATATGTGAGTTCTTAACAGGCCAACACTTAGCCCCATACATCATGGCCGGTCTAACCAACGCTTTATAGAATTTACCTTTGAGTATCGGTGGCACTCTCTTGTCACACAGGACTCCAGATGCTAACCTCCACTTCATCCATCCTACCCCAATATGGTGTGTGACATCATCGTCGATCTCCCCTCCACCCTGGATAATCGACCCAAGGTACTTGAATGTTACAACCCATATTTACATACGTTAGTTCATGCCATAAGGTCGTCGACGTAAATCCATGAAGAGATTATCTTTGAGATGATAAGAGATTAATCTTATTGGTCTTAAATGATACAAAGGTGTATAAGGGTGGTTAACAAGTATTAGAAGTTAAACGAATCAAGGATGTTGTCAGCCGTATTTTTGGGTAAACCTAGGGGTGCTTAATACTCTCAAGAGGTCGTATTTTAAGGTATATGAATCATAAAATATCCGTATCATAGTCTTGAAGTCAAACGAGTTATGAAACAAAAGTCGACAAGAGTTGTTGCAACTTAAGTTCATAGTTTTACTTAAACTTTAGGTCAAATATTATTAAGCTTTTCTCCCAATATACTTGGAATTACGGGGTGATCTACCCACCAAATTGAAGATCTAAGAGTCTAGTTTCCAACGCATTAAACCTTTTATCAATACGACATTGGAGTAGAGAGATATTTGCGTTTTCGCGAGACTGCGCCAAGCACCTCTCTATGGGACCCACTTAGGCGGTTTAAGACATTTGGATCTATATAGGACGCCTCCAACCCGTTTTAAGTCATTTATTTTCACTATTTTCAGACCTTAGAACCCTAGGAACACCCTCTCAAGGTTCTCTCAAGATTCAAGACCCAAACAAAGGGCAAACAACACAAATCAAGTGTCGGGAATCCCGTGGCGCTAGTAAGTCTCTTGTTCTTCTTGTTGTTGCTCATTTTTGTGTTGTTCCAGCTCGTGTGGGAGGTTGTTTTAAAGGGTTTATGTTCTGTAAATACTCCCTCAAGTTCTTAATATCAACCCTAGGTGATTTCAAGCCTTCTAAAGTGATTCTAGTGCCAAAAAGAAACACTAATTGATTGCTAGTTTCGCTTCCTTGTTGTTGTGGCAGAATTGGAGGGATATTTCGTGGAGAATTAAGGTCAAATTGGAGTTGTTCTTTCTGTATAAAGACTAAGGAGTCGTGAAAATTGCATAGCTTGAGATTGGGGCAGTATATACAAGGTATGTGAGGCTATCCCTTTCATTCTTTTGCACGACTCCGATTGTACATAATGTAATGAACGAGCTTCCAAAGATACTCTACTCTTAGAAGCTAGCAGTACTTACATTGTTTCCCCTCTTATGGAACGATTGATGTTGATGTTGCTTCTCTTATTCTTATGTTGTCAATGTTATTGGTACTTCCTGATTCTTATAAGGTTCATGGTGAAGAGTTAGTCCTAATAACGTGTACAGAGGATACCGACCTTACGTCACTTCGAAAGATTTAGAACGTGAGTTCATGAGTCGAGCATGCATTATATATATGTATCTATTTTACTCTACCGAGCCGCGCTATAGTCGGCCGGGTATGGCACCTATTGTGCAACCACTGATCAGTTGGGTTTTACCGAGCTCCACGTGGCCGGGTACGTTTTTACCGAGCCTATTACGGCCGGGTACGATATGATGATGATGATGCCCACAGAGGCGTATGTTTTAAAAGTTTATGTATATATATGTATTATGCATTGTACCCAGATGTTACAGGTTGTTTATTCTCTATCCCTGCTTACATTACTGTTCGTACTTATGGTTCCCTGCCTTACATACTCAGTACTTTATTCGTACTGACGTCCTTTTATTTGTGGATGCTGCATGTCGTGCTGCAGGTCCTGATAGACAGGCAGGCGCAGCTCCCCCACCATAGTAGGCTGTCCAGTTCAGCGGTGATTGGCGAGATCCCTTCTTCGGACTTGCCTTGGTCTTGGTATGTATTTTTGTTATAGATATTATGGGTATGTCGGGGCCCTGTTCCGGCTATGTTGCAACACTTATGTTCCTTTAGAGGCTCATAGACAGGTGTCGACTCATGTATAGTTTAGTAGGCCTTGTCGGCTAGGTTTTGTTGTATAGTCTCTCATGGTAGTGTGGTAGCTCGTACCTTATATATAGTTTTGTTGATTGTCTAGTCATCCCATGTTATGTATGTTCATGCCATCATATTTTATTGTTGGTTGTCCATGACCCATGTCTACCATTTATATTGATCTCGTCAGCCCTAAAAGATAATAAAGAAGGTTAGATAAAATGTATGTTGGTACTCGGTAAGTATGGCCGGGTGCTAGTCATGGCCCTCCGTTTGGGTCGTGACATTGAAGCTGCCTCTACTTGGGATGACCTGTGATTCAAGCCTAACATTCACGCTCACTTCCCCGACTCAGCGTTGAACTTACACTCCAGGTATTCCGTCTTCGTCCTGCTCAATTTGAAACCCTTAGACTCAAGAGCTTGTCCCCAAACCTCCAGCCTCTCGTTAACACCGGCTCGCGACTCGTCAATCAGAACTATGTCATCGGCGAATAGCATGCACCATGGCACATCCCCTTGAATATGGTGTGTTAACGTGTCCATCACCAGGGCGAATAAGAACGGACTGAGCGCAGAGCCTTGGTGTAACCCCATTACAACTGGATAATGCTCAGAGTCGCCTCCTACTATCCTAACCCGAGTCTTAGCCCCATCGTACATGTCCTTAATCGCCATAATGTAGGGAACCGACACATCTTTTGCCTCCAAGCATCTCCAGAGAACTTCTCTAGGAACCTTGTCATACGCTTTCTCTAGGTCAATAAACACCATGTGCAGATCCTTCTTCCTCTCTCTGTACAGTTCCACCAACCTCCTAACAAGGTGTATAGCTTCGGTAGTAGAACGACACGGCATGAACCCGAACTGATTGTGAGATACAGATACTGTCATCCTCACCCTCGCTTCAACCACCCTCTCCCACACTTTCATGGTATGACTTAGTAATTTGTTACCCCTATAATTGTTACAACTCTAGATATCACCTTTGTTGTTATACAACGGAACCACCGTACTCCACCTCCACTCATCCGGCATCCTCCTCGCCTTAAAAATAACCTTAAACAACCCAGTCAACCACTCCAAACCTGCTCTCCCCATAGACTTCCAAAATTCCACAGGAATCTCATCTGGCCCGGTCGCTCTACCCCTACTCATCTTACGCATAGCTCCCACGACTTCCTAAACCGTGATACGCCTGCAGTACCCAAAGTCACGGTGACTCTCGGAATTCTCCAATTCGCCTAGCACAATATCCCGATCCCCTTCTTCATTCAAAAGTTTATTAAAGTAAGTCTGCCATCTCCTCTTAATCTGGGCATCTTCCATCAATACTCTACCATCTTCGTCCTTGATGCATCTAACTTGGTCCAAATCCCGAGCCTTCCTCTCACTCAACTTGGACAGCCGGAATAACTTCTTCTCCTCGCCTTTTCCCCCAGTTCCTTGTACATAAGACCATAAGCCGCAGTCTTAGCCTCCGTGACCGCCAGCTTAGCTTCCTTCCTAGCTACCTTATACCTCTTCATGCACGCTCGCCTCTCTTCCTCACCTATGCTCCCCACTAATTTCAGGTACACCGCCTTCTTCGCTTCCACTTTACCTTGGACCACTTTATTCCACCACCAGTCTCCTTTGTGCCCACCGGAGACACCCGTCGAGACCCCTAACACCTCTATCGCAGCCTCCCTTATACAGTCTGCTGTCGCTGACCACATAGTGTTCGCATCACCACTGCTCCTCCAAGCTCCCATAGCCGACAACCTCCCCTCCAACTCTTGGGCTTTATCCTTAGTTAAGGCTCCTCACCTGATTCTCGATTTTCCTCGAGCAGGCCTTTTCCTCCTCTTTAACATAATACAAACATCCATCACCAAGAGCCTATGCTACGTCACGAGTATCTCACCCGGAATCACCTTACAATCCTTGCACAACCCTTTGTCACACCTCCTGAGGAGGAGATAGTCAATCTGAGTCTTCGCCACCGCATTTTGAAAAGTAACCAAATGCTCCTCCCTCTTCGGAAAGCTAGAGTTCGCAATCGCCAACCCAAAAGCCTTAGCGAAGTAATGAACAACATTTTATTGATTTTAATATACTGTCCAAGATATAGAATGAATCAGACATATTCAAATCAATTAGGTAGTTGTAAAAGAAAAATAACGAAATGCACTTAATAATCTTAAATCTGAATAATGCAGATTCAGATTTCCATTAAGTGAAATCTAACGCGGCTTTGACAATTAGTGATGTACTATTAACTTCTAAGTAATCTAGTGTAAGAAAGTTTTTATATTATTGTATAAAAAATTAAGTGATGTATCAGACGATGAAACGTTTACGGATATTGCAGCTGAAGCTGGAGTCAATATCTCGCCCCTCGATAATAACGTCGTATTTTAACATAATAAGACATGAAATTGACGAGGCTATTGATGTATAAATCAGGATATGCGAAATATATCCTCTAAAATCCTCTTATCAACAGAAATCATCAACAACATCTCAATCAATCTTCTTTTAAAAATTCCTTATATCTTAATGTTAATACGTAGTATAAATAAGAACATGCATGTAAAACTTCTTGCTCATACAAAATATAACATCACTCTTCAAATATTACACTTAGATTATAGCCATGAACTATGAAAATTATGACCCTTGTTTTCCTGACCAACCAGTGGTCGATCTTTATCTTCCAATATGGGCTAAACTTCCAGCTTTTAAGTCCAAACCAGCTTTTATTTGGGCTGAAGATGGCCCAATTCAAAGTTCATTCCTCACTTATGAGCAATTAAACAGTTCAGTTCAATGCATTTCCTCTGAATTGTTGCTTAGTTTAAGAAAAAATGATACTGTTCTTGTTTTATGTTCTCCTGGACTTGAATTGGTTGAAATTATTTTTGGGTGTCAAAGAGCTGGGCTTCTAGCCATTCCTATTAGTCCTCCTCATCCATCTTTTTCCAATGAAAATTACCATCATTTTCTTAGAGTTGTGTCTCAAACAAAACCAAAAGTTGCTATAGCATCAAGTGATTACATTAGACATGTTAATAAGTATGTCGCGAGCTCTAGTAATAAGAAGTTGTCCGAGGCTTTACAGATGCTTCGATGGATTTCAACCGATGATTTAAAGGGCACGGAAATGAAAATTCAATTGGAAAATGTGACTTGTGATGGTAATACTTATAATGGTTGCAGAACTGATGATGTGTACTTGATTCAGTACACATCAGGTGCAACTGCAATTCCTAAGCCTGTTTTAGTGACTGCAGGCTCAGCAGCTCATAATGTTAGAGTCGCGAGGAAAGCTTATGATTTTGGTCCGAATACAGTTGTTGTCTCGTGGTTACCTCAGTACCATGATTGTGGACTCATGTTCCTGTTGTTGACGATTGTATCAGGGGCAACATGTGTCTTAACTTCCCCGAATGCATTTGTCAATCGTCCTAGGATTTGGCTTGAATTGATTTCGGAGTTTAAGGCAACTTGTACTCCGGTTCCTTCTTTTGCTTTACCACTTGTGTTGAAACGTGGTCATGTTGGGACGACTGAGACAGGAACTGTTAATACTATTAGTATGTTGAGCTTGAAGAATTTGATCATCGTTAACGAGCCAATTTATAACTCTTGTGTTGAAGAATTTGTTGAAGTTTTTAAGCCTTTTGGGCTAAATCCTTTGGCAATTTCTCCCTCTTATGGCTTAGCTGAAAATGGCACATTTGTTTCAACATCATGGAGATGTAATAATGGTGACAACTTTTGGACTTTTCCAACTTACAATAAGCTCTTACCAAGTGCTAGACTTGATGAAGATGTAGATATTGAAATTCTAGTTGTGAATGAAGAAACAAATGAACTAGTAGAAGATGGAGTTGAAGGAGAAATATGGATTTCATCTCCTAGTAATGCTATTGGATATTTAGGACATCCATCTTTAACTCAACAAGTGTTCAATGCTAGACTAAAAAATAAGGTGGGCAAATGCTACGTCCGAACCGGTGACAGAGGAGTTGTTAAAGGAGAACAGGGATTTTTATATGTGACAGGTCGATGTTCTGATATTATTAAACTCTCAAATGGACAAGAAATACATCCACATTATTTGGAGACAGCAGCTTATAATAGTTGTCCTCATCTCCTACGAGGTGGTTGTCTAGCAGCGTTTATGATGTCTGAATCTGAATACAGATCTATAGTTATTGTCGCGGAGGTGCAGAGCAAGGGTGAAACAGAGAGTTTGTTTTTGAAGCAAATATGTGAAGGAATAAGGAAAGGAGTAATGAAAGAAGAGGGTGTTGAAATTGGACAAGTGGTATTTGTTAAAGTTGGAAATGTACCAAAGACTACTTCTGGGAAAATACAAAGATGGCTTACTAAATATAAGTTTGTTAAGTCACAAATGAATGTTATCATGCAAATGAAGTTTGATAATAGTGGTAATGTTCAAAGTACAGTTGAAAAAATGATGCAAATTAATGGGGGAAAAGAGACTAAAAAGGGAAAGAAGATGATTAGTGTAGAAGAAGAAGAAGGGATGTCATTTGCTCCTCCTCTAAGTGCTTCGAAGACTTTGCTATCTTCTCTTTAATAATTAATCAGAGGTTTTGTTCAGAAGCTCTCTGAACATTAATATAATATTAGCATGTATGATCCAAGTTTTGAAGGGCGTAGACAAATAAAGTTTTATTAAATTTAATCTACAGGTAATTTGGATTTCATTATATATTATATACATATTAGTCTAAATGATACTATGGGCTAGTATAATAGGGTCGATTATTTAAATCTAAAATGAATGATTTAAATAAAAGTCCAATGTATTATTGGGCTAGCTCGTCAATTGGTTTTCTATCAAATAGGTCGGCCCATAAGCCTCAAGCCCAATGATCCACTAGGGTTTTCTTGGAGATTACTCCGCCCCACACCTATATAAAGGCGTCGAAGGAGAAGGCTAAAACAAGCAAGTAAGCAGAAGGAAAGGCTGAAGAAGCTCTGAAGAATAGCATGAAGGTCTCCATCTATATCTGCAATCGTTGTATGTATTCAAATTCCAAAGGCGAACTCAAATCATAGGTGGGCGGCTTCAAATCTTCCGTTCGTGATAACCCAACACCAAATCTTGGTTGGTGATGACCTTCAAATTGTTCGTGACGTACTACAAATCTGAAATCCATCAAGTTCAAGATCAAGCTCTTGAACCATCGTCCGCGAGGAGAAGAATCAGAGGACTACATCTCGTTAGATTTAGAGATATTTTAGAGATTGTAACCCCATCACTTTAAATCAAATATAATATTTGTCGCTATATTTCTTATCTTGATTATTATTTTCCAAGAACAAAATTTAGTTGTTACAAATTTTGGCACGCCCAATGGGACCATCTATACCTCTCATCTCTTCTCAACTCTCAACATTTAAGATCACTAAGATGGCTTCAAAGAAGATCAACTCAAAAGTTGCTGACTCCAAGTTTTCTTCTGACATTGAAAGTATCCTGAACGCTACTATGGGGAGTCCTGGGCCAATCGCCCGGCAAGGCGAGCGTCTTGGGACAGCAAGCACTCCAAGTGTCGTCTGCACCAATGCATGCTTTGAGATCTTCATCATCCGAAGAAGAAAGGTGCTCTGCTAGCAAATCAGAGAGAGGAGATAATATTGCATAAGTTGTGGAGAAAGCTCTTGCTCAAATTAGTTTATACAATACCAAGAGTCAGCTTACCCAACCCGATGATGAAGTTTTAAGTGTTAGATCTACGCCAATCTCGCCACATGACATGTTCCAATCTGAGTTCAATCCGTGGGAAGGTATCGGTTATTCTTCATCATCTGCAATGATCATGGAGGCAATGATGACTAACACTTTGACAATGGAGGAGCAAACCTGACAAAGGCGATTGATGTCTTAACAAAGTATGCTCAAGATCAAGATGTCCGTATCGCAAAATTGACAGGCGTAGTTGAAAGCATGATGGATGGAGAATCAAGTCATGCACCTGGAAAGCTCCCTGAAGTCCACGAGAAGGCTGATCCTCCAACAAAATAAGTGTCATCCGCCAAAGAACTTCATGTCTCATCCTAAGAATCAATTCCCATCGAACAATTGAAGAAATTCATTATGGGAACTATCAAAGATAAGTATGCGGCCGCTTCAAAGTCTTCTCTCACGTACGCAAAGCCGTATACTGCAAGAATTGATAGCTTGAAGATGCCTGCCGGCTATCAACCTCCCAAATTTCAGCAGTTCGACGGCAAGGGAAATCCAAAGCAACATGTCGCGCACTTTGTTGAGACCTACAACAATGCAAGGACTTATGGAGATTACCTTGTCAAGCAGTTCGTCCGCTCACTAAAGGGGAATGCTTTTGATTGGTACACCGACCTCAAGGCTGGATCCATTGATAGTTGGGACCAATTGGAGCAAGAGTTTCTCAATCGCTTCTATAGCACGAGGCGTACTGTGAGCATGGTGGAGCTTACGAACACTCTCCAACGAAAAGATAAACCAATTATTGACTTTATCAACCGATAGAGGAATGCAAGCCTTAACTGCAAAGATAGGCTAAGCGAAGCTTCTGGCATAGAGATATGCATCCAAGGAATGCATTGGGGACTTCGTTACATCTTGCAAGGAATTAAGCCCAGGACATTTGAAGAACTTGCCACCCGTGCTCATGATATGGAGTTGAGCATGGCTTCTGCGGGAAATGAAGGGATGTCCATCTACGAACCTCTCAAGGGAAGAGATAAGTAAGAAGTCAAGAAATGGAGCAAGTTCGTACCCAAGAATGAAAGCAGAGAATCCATGAACATCAATGCCTCTCCTTTGAAGTTTACTACCAAGGTGAGCAAGAAACAGAGTATGAAAAAACTTCCTCTCAAGACAACACAAATCGGAAGTTGACTCTCAAAGAGATGCAAGAAAAGGAGTACCCATTTCTAGACTTTGATGCACCTGCGATATTTGAAGAACTCCTCGAGCTAAAGCTTACTTAGCTGCCAGGGATGAAGCGGCCAGATGAAGCTGGAAAAAGCAATGACCCGAATTACTGCAAATACCACCGGCTTGTAGGTCACCCTCTTGAGAAGTGCTTTGTCTTCAAGGACAAAGTTATGGATTTGGCTCGTCAAAAGAAGATCGAGCTTGAAGACGAAAAGGCGAGCGCAAACCATGCGTCCATTGCATTTGGCTCATTCGATCCGATTGAGATATGCACTTGTGAAGGGAATAAAGATGAAGAATTGTTGGAGGATGACAAAGTCCGAGTTGATCAACCTGATGAAGAAGGTTGGACCCTGGTGACTTGTCGAAGAAGCCGTAAATTGAGTCCGCAAAAAGGATCAACGAAGTAACCTATGAGGAATAAGATGGTGAGAAGACCAAAGAAGCAACAAATGGTTAAGAACCCAAAGAAGGTGGAGATAGAGACACACCATCACCAAAAGCCACGCCACCCGGTGACTTTGGGAGAATTCTTGCTAAGTTGGTTTCGCATGAGGATTTCTGACGATGATGACAAGGCCTTGTGTTGTAATGCTGATAAAGAAGAAGAGGAAAAGAATGAAGTCACATCAACCCCGTCTCCATCAGTGTTTAATAGTCTTGTTGAGTCCTCCTTCCAAGAAGCGGATATATGTAATGCAAAAATTACCTTCACTGAAGACGATCTCCTACTTGGTGAGACACCACACAATCGTCCTTTGTTTATGGTGGGTTATGTGCTCGAGTGGAGGATAAACAGAATCTTGATAGATGGCGGATCTGCAATTAACATTCTTCCCATTCGCATAATGAAAGAACTCGACATCTCAAGTGAAGAACTTTCTAAAAGCCGACTAATGATTCAAGGATTCAATCAAGGGGGACAAAGGTCCATAGGAGCTATCAAACTGGAAATCACCATGGGAGATATGCAATATACTGCATAGATGCATGTGATTGATGCAAAGACTTCATACAATTTGTTGCTTGGCAGGCCGTGGATACATGAGAACAAAGTTGTCCCATGAACTTACTACCAATGTTTGAAATATAATAAAGATGGAGTCGAAAAGAAGATAGTTGCTGACAACATGCCGTTCGCTGAAGCCGAGGCATACTTCGGTGATGCAAAGTTCTACTTGAAGAACCACATCGTGAAGGGGGTAAAAGTTGATGACATCACGAAGGCCAAAGGTGATAATATCGTGTCCAAAAGGGATGAAGTAGCTCCTGGTGAAGATAAAGTTACAATATAAGCATAACAAGTTTCGAAAGCTCGCAAAAAGAATGCTGTAACTGTAGGCAAGTTTATTTCGTTACATCCCAAAAGTGAAGAAAGATGAATGAGAATCATCAAGCCTCCAAAAAGATGCACCAAGAGAATTAACCCTTCCTATCAAGCAGATTGATACCATAAAGTTATCTTGAAAGCTACTGGAAAAGTTTGTGGGCCCTAATATGCCTCAAAATAAGGCATTCCTCACGAAACGCACAAATGAAGGTTTTGATCCAAATGCTTACAGGTTTTTTGCAAAGGCTGGATATGATCCCAACGAACCATCTAAGCTAGGGAAGCTCCCACTTGAAGCTACTAGGAAAGCAAACACGATGAAGGATAAAGAGCATGTGGTGAAGCAATCACGTGAGGGTTTGGGTTACAAACAACCCTTACCAGTTCACATCTCCATTACCAGTTCGCATCTCCATTAGAAGAGCAAGTAGTAACTATATTACGATGGAAGATGAACCCACTGATCCTAATAAAAGGCCTTTTGTATTTGATCGACTTGGAGAACCAACTACAAGAACTTCTATATTTGAGAGGTTAGGGCCATTGAAAAGGAAGAAGAACAAGTCCCAAAGAAATTATGAAAAAATAAGAAGGCCTTTGCCATCTAGAGTCCAAAGTATCTCCAAAGAGTGTCAAAGCCTGATCCCTTCCAGAATGAGGCGATAATCAGAACTTTTGATTTCATGCGGAGAGGTACTCAAAGTGAAGACCCGCACAGTGGTCCATACTAGGGAGCGTGGCGAAGATGAAGAAAGTGTAGGATCATCATATCACATTACTGCGAATGAGGAGCAATACACTTCATTTCTAAGGAAGGTCGACGAAAATTTGGGAGATGCCTCTTGGCGTGGCCATATATCTTTTAATGATGGTGATCCCCAAGAAGACAAAGATGTCGAGGACGCTCCTCCTAAACTAGAAGAAGGAACTAAAATGACAGTTGATGCATTGAAAGAAGTCAACCTTGGTACTGCAGAAGACTCCAGCCCACCTATGTAAGTGCCCTACTAACCACAGATGAAGAAAGCACTTATGTGGAGCTACTCAAAGAATATAGAGATGTCTTTGCTTGGAGCTACAAAGAGATGCCTGGTTTAGATCCTAAGTAGCAGTTCATCATCTCACGGTCAAGAATGGAGCTCGTCCTGTTAAGAAAGCCCAAAGACGCTTCAGGCCAGAATTGATCCCATCAATCGAAGCCGAGGTCAATAAACTCATTGAAGCTGGTTTCATTCGGGAGGTTAAATATCCTACATGGATTTCAAGCATTGTTCATGTGAAGAAGAAGAATGGCCAAATTCGAGTTTGTGTCGATTTT